TTCCTCTTTTTTTAAAAGGACTTTCAGGGCTCTGTTATTGACATGATGACTAAGCCCTTTGACAAGAAATGCAAAGTTAATAGCAGCGTCGTCACGCAGCCGCTCTGCTTTAGGGGCCTTCTGAGCCCTTGGGTCCCTGGCCTGGGCCCAGTGGGCCTGTTCTGTAATACCCCAGACCTTCAGGACAGAGCACCTCCATTGCAGGTCTCTCCCAGCTTCTCGCATCAGGCTGCCGCCAGACCCTCTTAGAAGGTGCCAGTCAATTGTGAGCAAGTCATTTTTCTTTCCTCTCTAGTTGTTGTGTCAATCTGAGGGCACCCAGCCCTCGCTTGCATTGCCCAACCAGACTGGCATGGAGTTTAATGTCTTTTCTCCATTAACAGAAAGCATGCACAACAAACACTGAAGCTATTAAAGTCAAAGCACAAACTACCAGACAAGCCAGATAACATATAAAAATGGTCTTTCCTTTACAGCGGTATAGGAATAATATCAAGGACACCAAGTTGTCCTGATAAATGTCAATACAACCTTTTCAACAATATAGTATGTACCTGACATTCGCGAACCCTAAAAGATAACCAGATGTGTAGGGAAAGCAGGCCACGTGTGGTATATCGTGTGAGGCATGATACATTGTTTGCACATGCAAACCCACTGCTCCTCTGTTGTCTTATACTAAATGGGTTCTTTACATGCTTTTCACTCGTTCAAGTTTCTTAAATAGCAGCCCAAGTCTAGCCGCAGAATCCCTCCTTCTAAGAGACGGCGTTTAATCTCAACCATCAGCTGGAAGTTTAAATGAGCTGTGGGGAATAGGAGAAGACAGCCAACTCTCCCTTCACAGGCCTAATAGTCTCGGCCATCAGCAGCACTTCATACACAACCACTGGCTGGCAGATTAGAAGGAAGGCTCACCACAAACACAGACAGACGCACGCACCAGCATGCTAGTGGATTCAAGTCATGTGCTTTTATTCAAAGTATAATGCGGAAATGCACAAATTGCAACACATACAAATACATTAACACACGATGACTATCTAATGGGCGATACAGCAATCCGCCCGCAGACACGCACTTCTTTTAAGTGGACTATAGTGGGCTGTGTGACAGCAGTCACTCTCTTTGTAAATTAATACCACATTTCCAGGTTCTCCTTTTCACAAAGAGCTTTCTATATAAATCCGCCATTAATAAAATCACAAAATCAAGGACACAGGAAAATCCACATCCTCTTCAAGCAGCAAAATCAAAAATTAAGCGTAGTTATAAGAAAACAGGTGGAACCTTTTATAGGCATTCCTTTATCTAAAAGTGCAGTAAATCAAAAGAGACAATCCTGGACCAACACACCCAAATGTGTAGGTGCAAAGCCCTGACAAAGTGGAGCCAAACACAAACATGGAGGCACGGTGGCTCATTAGACACAACCGTGCACCCCTCAACCATGATGGGCCAAAATCTAGCCAGCAGAACTTAAGTTGCCTAGATTAATAACAGTTTAAAACAGCTATAGTCAATATTTTAACAATGGTCTCATAACTGCAAATATGTGAAAGAGGTCGCTCATATTGATAAAATTTCCCTCAGAAGCTATCAGAGACTAAACCAGAGGTAATACCCCTTTTCCACCCAAATTAGCATGTACATGCAGGTTTTGCGAGTCTGTGTACATTTCATCAGGGCAAAGTGTGGTCATGGAAACACCTATTACAGCGGTAACCACCACAGAAGCCATTTTGGGTACTTTTCCAGGTGTCAATATGTCTGTCGGTGGACAGATTTTGTCATTGCTTTAGCATTACAACTGTGCAAGATGCAGTCACAAAACTTAACGGGAGTGTAGTTAATTTCGAAGATGGCTGTAGTCTAAGCATGGGGCCTGGAAGTGGGGGAGAGGCAGCAAGGAAGGGGCCAGTGCCCGTCCACTTTACACCTTGGCCCACATTCATTTCAGGTTGCAGCTCGCAGTATCACAGCTGGAATATTGCAAAATGGTCCCAGGTTTATAGCCGTTACTTATTCAGTCTCTTTCAAACTCATCGCTGACAAATTCAGACCGATGTTCGAGTGCTGCTTGGACTGAGAAGGGCAGAATTTGTGGCTGAAATGAGTCACAGAAGTTACCAACTGTCATGATGGGAAAGGTGCAAAAATTAGCGTGTCACGTAACCATCACTGCACACTGGAGCTGGAGCTGATAAACAGCTGTGACTGGGAATTAATGTCAGTTGTACCCTTCCCCTCTAAAGACAAAAGCCAAATATTATTGGGTGTTGATGTTTAAAGGAGAGTGAATATTAGACTTAAATTCACCAGATAGCTACAAAAACAGCTACAAATGAATGACAATGTTTCTCTGCGTCTGCTGGATGTGTAAATAAGCAACTGTTTGCTAACAAGGCCACTGGCTGTAAATGGAAAAAAAAAAAAATCAGGTATGGCATATCTAAGATATATTAGCTTCCTTGACCGCCTTGTGCAAGTTTAAGAACCACCAGTCTGACCCCGTGACATTAAGAGATGAAGTGTAAACCACCATTGCCTCACACTCTGAACACCGAGTTACCAAGGGATGGCTGCAGGGCTCATCTCAGAAACGTACATCACAGGGAAATATTTCCTGATTTATACAACTTGATTCTCGGCATATTAGAACCCATACTGCAGGAGCTGGACCGCTGGAAGGAATGTTGTAAAAAAGAACAAACTAATTGCAGACAATTGCTCCAAAAATGCAGAACATTACAAATCCAGGAAAAGATGATGGAACAATATGATCACAACAAAAAGCAGAGCTACTGCCAATAACAGGCACACTGAAAAAAACAAAAAAACAAGCACAGACAGTCCTACACCCTCTAGCAGTCTGAATTAAATTGTAAACATCCAATCATAATTAAGACAGAGGAACATACAGTACTGTGGAACATATACTTATGTTTTCCAGTCAGCAGATTATCATTTAATTTTTGGTCGTCCTGTTGTGTACTCGGTTAACCTGTTACACTCCAACACTTAAAGGAAAACTTCCACACTCCTTGTATACACCAAGGTCTTTTTACAGGTCTAAATGAGTAGCACTGCATATGTTCAAACGGTTACATAAAGGCGTTTTTTGGCTGCTGAGGGAGCCGCACAAAATTTGATAAATTGCCTTACGAAATGTCACGAGTCTGACAATGATATAAGAGTGTTATGCTAAATCAGTGTTTTTTCTGTGATTTGTTTTTGTTATTAAATAGTTTTGTTAAGAATTTTCTGTTTTGTTAATTTCTTTGTTAGTGTTTTTTTTTTTTGTGTGTGTACACTACCCGAGTGTAAAACTACTGGATCCTGGTATTGCTACCAGAACTACTCTAGCTGTGCAACGTTTGGTTTTGTTTTGTTGTTGACAAAACACACGAGGAACCAAAGAAACAACAAAACAAGATAAGGACAAAACAACCAGCAACAACAACAAACAAAACCACCAAGAACACAACACACATATAACACAAACAAGAAAACAACCAGCCTAAACCTTACCAAAAAAAACAAACAATAAAAGCACACACAAACTAAAAATAAAACAAAATAAATAAGTCAAAAAACAAAAAAGGCAAAAAAAAAACCCAACACAACTATTGAAATAAATAAAACACACTATTACTGCCTGCTCATGCAGTCAATGGCAAAATATTGTCTGCTAATACTGTGTCAGGTAATGACATTTCATGCAAGAAATGTACAGACAGTTGGCACAGCTGAAGCAAAATGTAACAGCTGTTACGAGTCTGTTCACGGCAGATGTTGAGGGGAGGAGGGAGAAAACATATATGCAAGAAAGGTGTGTTGCAGGTACAACAAGTAACTGCTTTAATGGAGACTGATGGACAATAAATAATTGCCCTCATCCATTAAGTTTTTTTAGTTTGTTTCTGTTGTCTCTGTGCATGTTTACATGCTAACAAAATGAAAGCAACACCAAACTGAGGCTTAAGTGCACAACTGGACACACCACGGGACACCAGGCCCGGCTACCCACCCAGCTAATGGAGAGCAACACAGCAGCACTTGAGTCAGACCATCAGGAGTTCAGGTAAGGCCAGCATCCTGTCTCTGGCACCAGTAACCGATACTACTCAGTATATGTTGCAGTCTGTAAGTAGCTGGTAGAGCAATCATCTCTGTTTTGCTGCCTGTGTCACACATTATCATAACACAATACTCATCATGTCAAAGTTAAACCAGCTGCTCCCCAAAAAGCACATTATTTCCTGTATTATATTTCCTATTATAGATGATGCAGATTTGCTAAACAGAGCAGTGTCTTCTTGCATTAATAAAAAAAGAGAATCAATTTGGCTTCCATGTTAAAGGTGCTACGTGCAACATTCAGAGTCTTAGCACATGACTCTCACCTCTGACATCACAAGCAAACATGGAGTGGGCCGAGCTGAAATGGCGGCCGCTAGCAGTGCTAACAGTGCTAACAACAGTGAAAGTGCTGACAGAACTAAGGGTGTTAACATAGGGGGGACAGGAGGGTGAACATCACGCCTCCGCAACAATGCTGTCCCACCACTGTGGGTCAGGATGGCGTTGGTGGAAACCGCAGTATCAGTGCAGAGCAGTGGGGTTTCACTAGCCAGTGCTACATGAAGGGAGGGACTCATATGCACTAACATGCACGTGTGGCCTGCCTGGCTACCAAAACAATGAACAGAGGGAGCATGACTTCATTCTCTGCTCAGGATGCAATTACTCCACTATTTTTTTAAATAGCAAATAGTTGTCTGCTGTTATATTAATGTTCATAATCTCATATATAGAACCTTTAAACATACTGAGAGAACTCTCCACAAAGTGGTAAGCAATAGCCATTATCTCTGTACACACATTACCCATCTTGGCACAACATCAGTCATGTATACAAAGGTCTTCACTGTCAAAGCTGAATTAGCTTTTATCTAAAGAAAATAGTCCCTCCATACTTTTTGATTTCAATACCTTACCTTTATGATGGTCCAATATCTAAATCCTTTTCTTGTAGTGCAACAGTGTTTCCTGTCTCTTCCCCATGGAAGGCCGACTTAAACTGCAAGCCAGAAACAATGTCTCGGTCACTACTGCATTCTTTTCACAGTCAGTGTGTGCAAAAGCACACCAGTCCAATGACTGTGCACAATGCAACTCTGTCATCACACTTCACACAGCTTCTTTTGAGCAGCAGATGCCTCTTGTCAACAGCTGAAGCCTCAACAAATAAACACATTTTAAACCCATTTGGTTTAAAATACAGTTTAAAATGAAATGGCAGTTAGCTTATTGTAAATACTTATTCTGTTGTCTTCGTTCAAACTATGATATTTTCTAACACATTACCTGCAGCAGTGCCTGGCTGGTCAGAAAGTGAAGACACCAAAGGTCCTAATGCTGCCCTACAGTCGAACATTGAGCCTGACTGTTTTAGCAGTTCGATTGGAGCCTCATAACTCCTATAGAAGAGCTTGTGGAAACAAAAGTCACTCAAAAAGACAACTTGGCACTCGACTATACACTTTCAAGTTTGTGCCCACTGCACGTGACAACAACTCCAGTTTGTCTCTCTCAGCTCCGAATAATCCAATCATCCGAAAAAGGCTTCGAACACCTGCTTTTATAACGCATAGCTCCTCCCACTACAGGAAACACCTCTTAATGAATCAATTAAATCACAGACGTTTGTTATGTTGCTAAAAAACATAAATATCATGATTTAACGGTAAATAAACCTTGGTTAAGAGGTCAAACTGGTTACACTTACAAAAAAAAATGCTCAAAACCCACTGTTTTCTTATGTTAAATTCACAACACCCCTCTACTTGTCTCACACTTGGCACCTTCCTACAGGAACACCTTTAAAAGGAAGTAAAATTGTTTCAGCGCGGTTTGACAGTTCCTAGGTGTGAAAATGGAGGTAATCATGTGCAGCAGGTAAGAGACTCATTTAATCTGACATAATATAGATGTTAAAGTTTAAATTTGAGACATATTCTCTGAATAAGAAAATATTTGTTATGTTTTACAAACAAAATCTCATAAATTTTGCTGTTAAGAGGCCCAAGTGCCGGCTATGAAATAAGTGTGTTTGTCAGCTTACTCGGTTTAGAAGACATGGGGTATTCCCTGGATTTATTCAGAGAAGTAGGTTATTTGGGAAGCTGTGGGTTTCCATCTTGTGTACTACATTTGAATTCAGGCTCCCTCTTCTTCTTCCTTGAAGCTTTACAGCAGCTGGCATCCATATCGTTGCAGTACTGCCATCTTGTGGTGATATTCCCCTTCAGTGCTGTGCCCTGCCCGTGACCTTCACGCTCGTGTCACACTTCTTTTCATTCTTGTCTTCTATTCATTGTAAATCTGTCATCATGTCCTGTCTCACTGCTGCATTTTCTGCATGTTTGAGAATCTTGATATTGTTCTCAAAAACAAGTCGGACATTTTTCCTGTCAGGTGACACGTGCTCTTTACATCACTGTGTGCAGTTCTCATTCTGGTCTGTTTACCTGGTTCCTAAATATAAATGCTTTCCACTGGTGTCTTCATTCATTCATTCATTCATTCATTCATCTTCTAACTGCTTCATCCTCTTGAGGGTCGCGGGGGGGCTGGAGCCTATCCCAGCTGACATCGGGCAAGAGGCGGGGTACACCCTGGACAGGTCGCCAGACTATCACAGGGCTGACACATAGAGACAAACAACCATTCACACCTATGGACAATTTAGAGTTATCAATTAACCTAGTCCCCAATCTGTGGGAGGAAGCCGGAGTGCCCGGAGAGAACCCACGCTGACACGGGGAGAACATGCAAACTCCGCACAGAATGGCTCCCCCGCCCGGGATCGAACCGGCAACCCTCTTGCTGTGAGGCGAGAGTGCTAACCACCACACCACCGTGCCACCCCACTGGTGTCTTGCTACTCTTAATTAATTTACCTCTGTGTGATGCTTTTTTCCCCTGTCTTTGAAAGGTTAATGTTTACTTCTACATTTCCAGTGAATAACAGCAGTTCCTATGTCTTAGTTTTAGGTTTCAGTTCAGCAAAACTTGTTTTTTATCGACAGTGTGTTTCATCTCTTTTATGAACTGTAACTAAACAGGACATATACAAAAGACTCATATGAGGTAGGACATGCCTTATTCATAATTTCTGGATTTGACAGGGTCATAATTCATGCATGTGAACATGTCAGAGTTGAAGGAGCTTTGACCTCACTGAAGTGAGACATGATGGCCCGCAGGCCCCCGGGGTCTGTGAATGTGGCCGTGGCTGGAGCAGACCACACCACATGATTCCCATTCTCATTACCTCATCTTGGTAGGTGGCTGGCTGGCTGTCCGTGTCTGTCTGTGCTGGAGTCAGTGTCAGTGTCTCTGTACACATGTTTGTGCTCTGGAGGATATTCTTTCTATTATATTCATATACCATCCAACAAAGTAGTGTCCTGTTCGATAACATGGTATGGATTAATACAAAATATTACGGTTCCAACCAAGTTTGAGGTTAGTTACACCTACAGCCACATCACAGGATCCGCCTTTGTGCTCACTGACACGACTATTTTGTAACCCAGACTTTATGTAGCTAAGGGTCATTGAGGGTTTTTGTGTTTTTATTTACTTATTTGTATTGCCATTATATGTTACTAGCACAACAGCTAATATTCCTGGGGTTCATTGAAAAAAATGATTGGTGATTATGTTAATTAAACAGAGGAGAAAATAATGTTACATAAATGAGCATACATATATAAAGGCTACACATAAAACAGGTAATTAAATAGCTGTACAATAACAAGACACAGCACTAGTCTGTAATACAATCAGCAGTACTGCAGCATACACTCAACTACCCAGAGACCTAGAGTGCAAAAACACCTAGAAACCATGTATCAGTATGAACAGCCTGAAATCAATCTATTAGTCAACACTTACAAATATAATTATCATATTTTTTTCTGTTTTAAAGGTCCCATATTGTAAAAAGAAATGCACACAGTCCATATTCAGGCACTGTGCCTTTAAACAAGCTGTCAGGACTTCTGTGAAATTGTGATGTCACAACTCTGTTTTTGAACTTGAAAAATAAATATTAGCTGTGTTCGAAATTGCTCCCTATCACGGATATAGTGCACTATATAGTGTGTTCACCATTTTGTAGTGTTGTTCGAATTCTCCGCGGTTAATTTCATTCACTATATAGTGGACTATAAAATACCCACAATGCACAGCAAATGTGAGTGAACAAACGATGTACCCTACATTTTACTCCCATATGCCACAATGCAATGCTGTCGTCTTTTGCCAGAGGAGAAGAAGAAGAAAAAATTTCAGTTAGTGTCCGAAATCTCGTTCAGTCGTTCCCCATGTAGTGCACTATATAGTAAACACGAAATAGGGAATAGTGAGTAAGTGAGTGAGTGGACGGTTTTGAACACAGCTATTATAAATGTTTTTGCAGTGATATCAGCTAACAGGAAGTAAACATGGACCCAAGCTGTTGCCTAGCAATGCAGTCCCAGTGAAGCAGTCTACAGACTGAATCATAATGTTTGTTTATGATAACTTCCAGATAGAAATCCCCTGCGTCATTTAAAGTGAACGTAGCTGGGCAGACATTGCCTCAATTAGTTAGTTCTTATCTACCTAATAAAGGCCCACCAAAAAGAAAAAAAAAGTGTATGCTATGTTTAGAATATTTATTCTGCTGTACCTTGCCTTTTCTGACAGAGAATTGAAGCCCTTATATTAGAGCCACCAGACTCACTGACAAAAACATTCATTTTACTAAACCAAACTTACTGGTCTACCATAGAATCGACTGATTAGTGTGTAAGGTAAAGTGGAGCAAATATTAAAATGTAGTGTACACTTACACAAATTTTGACTTTTTTATTATTTATTTAGTTATCTATTTTAGGTAGCTAAAATATGTTTTGCTGCAGCCCCTGTCCACAGCAGGACATTGTTTGGCTTCTGTGTCAGTAGGTTTAGATATTAAAGACCCCAGTAGAGCAATAAAGTAAATAAAATAAACACAGCAAACACGTCAGGTAGGTTGGACCACTGTGTTTAACTTTATTTCTTTAGGAGTTACAGTTACAGCTGAAAATGATGACAGAAATCATCAAGTTTGTAGATTTAACAGAGCTCCACAATTGTAATCAGTTGCCAGTTTTCATCCTGGAAGTGATTGTTGTTGTCAGCACAATGACATGGTGATTCAGTCTATAAAGATTGAAAGTGGACAGGACTTTAAAGAGACAAACACTACAATAGGGCATTTCCGACAGAGGATGGATACAAGTATATTCAGACATAATGTGTTTGTTTGTTTTTTTTACATTAAAGCATGTAAACATGTTCTAATAGAAACTCAGAATACAAGTATGAACCTGAAAATGAGCATAATATGGGACCTTTAACTATTATTTGTGTAGATATTAATACAGAATTTTATATTATCTTTTCAGTTTTTATCAATGACAAATGCTTGCATGTATAAAAGTATATTATGTATGTAGCTTCATGCATTTGTTAACTGTTGTACTTGATTATTGAGTGTACATCCTGATGGGACCCGTCATATTGTTAGTGAGTTGTTTAAAAGTATCACTAGAGGGCAGCAGAGGACTTGATATGCAGTAGAGCACTCAGCCTCCCATTCACTCAACTGACCAGGGATATTTCAAGATGAACTAGATCCAGATGTGTTGGAATTGTATTAATTTTAATGATTTTATTCTGCAGTATTCCAAAGTATGACCTCATGGTAGATCACACCTGACCTAATTAATGAAATATTTTCAATCTAACATATTTTTAATATCATTTTGTAATTCTGTAAATATTTTTAAGAATAATTTTATGTTTCTTTAAATCCAGAGTGCTGACCGCTTTAGTGTGCCCCATGCCTGCAGCTCCACCAAGACCTGTTGGGGGAGGAGGACCACTGTGAGGTAGGAAACAGGGGGGGGGGGGGGGTCATCAGGAAGTTGGAATGTGGGTCCCTGTGTGTGATGTGATTGTTAGCAGAAACGTGTCAGCCCCAAGCCCACCGTCACCAACCCACCACCACCACCAACCCTGAGCCCACAGCCCTGCTCAGGTTATGAAGCAGAGCTCTGTACGTGAACATGCATGTGTGCGTATTTGCGTACACACGATATACCTCTCAGCTCTGCACTGCTATGAAGGCCCAGATACCTTATCATTGCCTTCTCTAGTGGAACAAGGGTAAACTCACTCACGAGGTTGAGGGTGAGGGTGAGGGTGAGGGTGAGGGTGAGGGTGAGGGGAGGGAGGAGGCGAGGAGAGAGACTCTGGGCAGTAGGCAGACCACAGGCCCATGTGTGGCCATGCAGGGTGAACCATACTGGATTAGGAGGGAGTTTATAGCTCTCCATCTTTTATGTAGTGAAAGACAGAGGAGGATGGTGGTAGTGGTGGCAGAGTGGGAGTGCTCCTCACCAACAAGTGACGCATCAATCTGTGTACATCACTTTCCAGTCATTATAATAACCCAACCTGTAAATTTAACAATGTTTAAATGACCTCATGGCTTTTTTTATGCTT